TATCTGTGGCAGCGGGCTGACAGCCCCGATTGCAGCTGTTGCGCTGCCCAGTTAGGTCGTCCCTGTGACTCAGAGCAGCTGAGCACTGGGTGTGCGGATACTGAGCAGGGTCCTGCTCGGTCCCCACCCTGAAGCTGTTTTCCCTCTTAGCACAGGAGAGGTGCACGGACTCAGATCCTGTAGGGAGCGTCCTGGGGAGAGCTGGGTGGCGGGAGTAATGTGGTGCCCGGAGGCGTGGTATGGCTGCGTGGTGGGGAACTAGCGGTGCCTGGGCGTTGGTTCAGGCACTGCTGTGACCCAGTGAGGTGGGGACAGGAGCCGCACCCCTCGAGGTGACTGACGGTGAGAGAGCCGGAGGGCGGGGAATAAATGGCACTGCTCAGGGGCTTCTTTCCCGCCCTGTCACCTGGCTGGGCCCTGGAGCCAGTGTCCAGGGTGCTGCACCCAGTCCGTGACTTTGAGACCTGATGCTGGGGTTCACGTTCACATTCATGCGTGTCGGAGGCTCTGGAAACACCCAGCAGACCTGGTGCCAGTGGCCAGGACATGAACAGTGATTTCCCAGCTGCCCCAAGACTGCCAACTCGAGGAAGTTTAGCTCTGATGCTGCATTTCTTTGGGGTTTTCTTAATGGTTCCCTCATGTTTTAGACCACAAGCTTCTAAAATCAGTGTATCTATCCATGCGAGCCAACCTGTCCAGACTCCCATGTGCCTCAGTAGTGTTTCTGGCGTTTGGCCTTATGCTTGGCCCAAGACTGTGTGAAGAGCTGGGTCTGAGCCTCCCCATGGGCTGGAGACAAGCGAAGAGCACTGAAGGCCAGAACAAGCAGCCTGAGGACAGAGGAGGCGTGGAGGGCGTGCTGTGCTGTGTGGGGTACCAGGTGGGAAGGAAGGTGGCGTGGGAAGGTGGCTTGGGCTCATCCCAGCTTTGGGCCAGCCGGGGAAGGTCCACCAGCCGCATGGCACTGACTTGGGCAGTGGATCTGTGAGGACCCTGCATCTCTGAGACCTCTGCCGGCTCTGGGGTGGAGGCCAGACACAGGGTGGGAATTGGTCCCGGGCCTGCACCCTAACCACAGTGGGAACAGCCTATCTCAGGGTGGCAGGGGCAGAGGGTGACACCGAGCTGCCAGAGCAAGGTAGGCGTGGTGACCTCAGAGCAGCAGTCGGAGCAGCCTGGCTCTCAAGGGTAGGAAACGGACTAAATTCCTGCTCGGTCCGTGTGTGCAGGAGCGTTCTAGTTTAGGTGATTGGAAGTGCACTGTGGATCATAAAAGTCAAGTCACAAGCCCACGGTCATTTCCCATACTGGAGCCGCTAAGACCGAGAGCCCATGGAGTGCAGGGCCTGGGGTACTGCCAGCAGTCCTGCAGGTCCCTCCCCAGGGGATGCCTGGCCGTCACTGGCTATGTGGTTCCCTGTTCCACTGTCGTAACAAAATACCTGGGCCCAAGAAGTTTATTCAGCTCCCAGTTCTGGGGTCCTTAGTGTGGTGCAGCCTCTCCTCGCGGTGGCGACAGCCTGTGGCAGGCGGCATCGTGGAGGTGAGAGTGCTCGAGGGAGCGGTCAGATGACAAGCAGGAAGGCGTGTGGAGGCGCAGCTGCCCTGAACCTGTACCAGCGCTGTCATGTGGAAGCTACCTGGACCCCGAGGCGTGGGCTGTGACAGTCCCCCCAGAGCAGCTGCCTCCCGTGTGGGGTCAGACTCCTGGGCCTGGCGCCTCTGCTGATGCCAGCGCCTAGAGTGAGGTTGTGTTGGCTCCTCCCAGGCTCTGCCCCTCCACACGAATGTCCGGGACTGCACCAGCTCCGTAGTTAGGCCGGAAAGCACCGACGTTGTCTTCCTGTCCACGGCCAGGCGCCGCCTGCTGCAGTCTTTGATCTCACGCATCAGGGTTTTGCAGGGTTCCTTGTGCAGGCTGTGTGTGTTGTAGATTTGTACCAAAGTGTTTCATGTTGGAGGCACTAATGTAAGGAGCATTGCATATCTAATTTCAGTTTTACTTGTTCCTTGCTTGGGATACTAACCTTGTGTTTTATAACCTTGCTATAATTCCCTATTCTAAGAGTTTTTTGTTGATTCTTTCGATTGTATGGACAGGAAGTAATTTGTGGCCAGTGTTATTTCTTGCATGCCCAGGATAAATCCACATGGCGTGGCCTGTGGTTCCATTTGTGTGGCACTGGATGTGCTTTGCTGGTCTTCTGTTGAGCATTTTCCATAGGTGCTCATGAGAGATAGGGCTGCAGTTTTCTCGCATTCTTTGCATTAGTGTCTTTCTGGCCTCAGAGTGAGTTCAGAGTGCTCCTCTGCCTCTGTTCTTAGAGGGCCGTGGAGTGGCGAGGTGCTGTCTTCAGGATTTCTCTTGGGTGGAACTTTGGCTCGGCTCCTTCAGGGGAAGGCTGACCTTGTCTCAGGTCGCCTGCTTCTGTTGTGAGGATTGGCCGGTTCTGCCTCTCAGGGACTCACCCATCTCTCCGGATGCCCGCAGTGGTGGGCACGGTGTGGTTGAGTGCCCTTCAGTGCCTGGGGATCCTGGGTATTGTGATGTCCTTGGTTTCTGATGCTGCTAATTTGTGCCCTCTTGCAATTCTCAGTTTTACTGGCTGTTGATTGTAGTCATTTTCAGAGAACCAGCCTATGAGTTCCTTGATTTTCTCTATTGATTTCTTGTTTCAGTTTCACTGATTTCTGCTCTCTTTACTATTTTCTTTTCTTCTGCTTACTCTGGATTTAATTTGCTCCTTTTCCCTGATTTCCTAAGGTGGAAACAAACTATTGACTTTTAGATCTTTCTTCTTTGCTAGTGTGTATGCTTCAGTCAGCTTGGTGTCGTAACACGTGAGGTAGTGAACCCACAAAGAAGACAGAAAGGTGCGTGGTAGCTCACAGTGCTGGCGGGCCCAGTCCCTGGTAAGCAAGCTCTCCAGGGCCTTTGGTGGCACTGGGGAGAGAGAGCCATGCCAGGCAGCACAGCTTTAGCAGATCCGCTCGTCCTGCAGCCAGGACACACCCCAGTCCCCTGCAGCCCTTGTCCCACCACCTCCCAGCAGCGCCTGGCTGAGGACCGAGTCTTGTCTGGAGTTTGCAGGATATTTAAGGTCCACCCAGTAGCTTCCGACTTCTAGCCTCCCAAGTTTCACATCTGTCTCACAGTGCAGAATACATTTATTCTGTCACCAAGTCCCCAGAGTCCTCCTGTTCCAGCATTCCTCACAAGTCCCAAGTCCAGCTGGGCATGGTGATGCACACCTCTGATCCCAGCACTTGGGAGGCTGAGGCAGGAGGAGTGCTGTGAGTTTGAGGCAGCCTGGGCTGCATAGTGAGACCCTGTGTCAAAAAAAAGGCCCAAGTCCAGAATCTTCTCTGCAGCCCCAGGCAGACTCTTTCCCATTGGTATGACTGGGACCAGCCCCACAGCCTGCACTTGTGAGCACGTGCTGTACCAGCCCTTGAGGCCGGTCTAAGCCACGAGCCCTGTGGAGATCTGAGCCCAAGCCGCGCACTCCTGAGGTGCCGGTCGCCCCACCCCAAGGGCGCGGCCCAGAGCGTGGGAAGGAGAGGTTGGCTAGAGCGACTGGGAGCCGCCGGGCAGCAAGGGGCCCAGGCTGGGCACATGGCTGACCTGGGCCCCGGCCTCTCCCTCAGCTCAGCTGGGCTGCCTGGCGTGGCCCGGCCGGGCCCAACAGCCCTGTCTGGCAGGTTGCTCACAGCCACCCTCCGCTGCCTGGGCCTCCCCGCTCTGCTCTGTGTGTCACTCCCAGAGGCTGCGTGCTGGCCTCTGCCGTGTGGCCGCCTGACTCTGCCACACCAGCCTGCGACCCAGGGCTGTGCCAGTGCAGGCTGCCCGGTGCCCTCGAGCTGCAGGACCATCTGCAGGTCGGGCTGGAGAGTGGGAGCCGTGCGCTGTTCTCGTGTGGACGGCGGCCTGGGTGGCTGGGTGGCCTCTCCGGCTCTAGGCCCCTCGAGCGTCTTCCTTGCTGTCCCCGAAAGGCACCAGCGTCCACACTGCCCCCTGGCCGGCTGGCGAAGCCCTTGGCCCTCAGCCTGTCTGTTCAGTTCTGGGAACTTGGGGTTACTGTTTCTCCAGTCTCGGGCATTTGCTTCAGCTGTGGGGGTCCCCTAGACAAAACCTGGATGTTTCCCTGCCTCATCCTTTCCCTAACGAGCCGCTCCGAGGTTACGGTGCCTTTGACCTTGGCTCTTTCTGGGCTTTCCATCTCTGCTGATGTTGCTCTTCTGTCGTCCCGAGCCTCAGTTTGTCTGTTGGAGCCCTGGGAGGGAGGAGAAAGAGCTGTCGTCGTGGTCAGATAAAGTTGCCCGGCTGTGCTGAGCGGGAAAAGAGGTGCTGCTGAGTTGGGTCACTTCCTTGTGGTTGGGGCGGGGTTATCACTGCGCCCCGGGAAGCCCCCTGTGTGCTCGTCCTGGGAGGGACCCGGGAGCTCTGAGATGGCTCCATCTGCCCTCGGTGTTGGGCCTTTTGTTTGTGTCGAGCAGGGAAGGAACCCGGCTGTGCACCACTCTGAGCCACATCCTCAGCCCCCTGTCTCAGAACCATTTGGGGGAAATTTGGAAAATCAGCCTACTTAGTATTTTATATGAATGGAGAATATTGCTTTTCTTTCTGGTGCTGGGGATGGACCCCAGGGCCTTTTTACCTTTTTATTTTGAGACAGAGTCTCACTCAGTTGCCCAGGGTGGGCTTCAGTTTGCAGTCCTCCTGCCTCAGCCTCCCAGGTAGTAGGAATTCCAGGGTGCACCACCACACCCAGCTGAAAGAATATTCAGGTTAATATTTTGTGTAAATCTAAGAAAATATAAAAAGGGCTTGCAGGTTGAGTTGTATGTGCTCAGAGGAAACCACAGACATTGCCGTTTGTGGTGTTTGGTGTGTGTAGTGCAGACTGCTGACCTCTTCTCTGTGTAGTTCCTCTTGGCGCTGGGGCAGGGCAGGTTCCCCTGGGGCTGGTAGTGGCACTGACTTCTCTGTGTTGCAGGTGATCGAGTCCCTGGGCATCATCATCTACAAGGCCCTGGACTATGGCCTGAAGGAGAGCGAGGAGCGGGAGCTGAGCCTGCCACTGGAGCAGCTCATCGACCTCATGGCCAACACAGCCGAGGCCGATGGCAGCCATGAGGAGGGTGAGAGTGAGCAGGAGGCCCAGCGGCGGCCCGGGGCCATCTGCTCCTACCGCGATGTCATGAAGGTACGCACAGCACTTGGGGAGGCTGAAGCAGGAGGGTGGCAAGTTGGAGCCCAGCTGGGGCGGCTTAGCGAGACCCTGTCTCGGAGTTCTGAAAGGTCTGGGGTGTGGCTCAGTGCATAGGCCCTGCGCTCGATCCCAGTACCAACAAAACAACAAAACAAAAACCCAGTATAAAGAAAATATGGTATGGTGGTTGGGCATTTGGTGCAGACCCTCCCAGCCTCTGCGGCTGCCTCGTGACTCCCTCCGGCGTGTGCCCCTCTGTCCAGTGGGGTTACTGGCTCCGGGACCCATGTGTCACATGAGGCCTCTTGAGTCTGGGGCTGGCGGCGAAGGTGACGCTGCTTCCCCAGGGCTCGTGTGCACGGGAAGCCCAGCCTGGGCTTAGGGCTTCTCCTGGCTAAATCCTGCTGTGTGTGGACTCCGGGGTGTCACAGCGTGGGCTCAGCCTGCAGGAGCCCTGTGTTCTGGCCCCAGAAAAGCCGCATACGTGTGGGCTCCTCGGGGCTCAGTGTGCAGAGGACAGAGGTGAGGCCAACCTGACCCCACAGAGAGCACATGCTGACTCGCGGATGCTCACTGGCTGTCCTGACCTCGCCACCACCCTCCCGCCGGCTTCTTCTGAAGCTCCAGAGACAGGAGCTCTGGGAGCCAGAGAGGGACCCTGGGACTGCAGGTGGCAAGTCTCAGAACATGCAGCTCGGGCTTCGGTTCCTCACATAGCAGCACTGTCATTAACCACACAGGTAAAATACCCCGTACATATGGACTGAAGTTTCCTGCTCTATGCATTTCGTGTTTCCTAGATGTTAAGTTTTATTTTTTAAAAATATACACTGGGGAGGACATTGTGTGAGATGGAATGAGCCTGACCCAGAAAGATGAGCCGCCTGCTCTCTCCCTAGGGCAGGAGGGTGCAGCAGCCGGTGCAGGGCAGTGAGGAGCACTGTGCTTGTGTTTGGGACACAAACCACGCAGACGCCCTCTGGTCATGTGCAGCAGGAGAAGGCGGAATCATCTGTAAAGGAAGAACACGCGAATAAAGCCAGGCTCACCGAGAGGTCCAAAGACCCACATGCCCTGCCATTCTAGAGACCCGGACGTTAGGGGAGGTTAGGGGGAGGTGGAGGTCTCCTCCCCCTCTCATCGGAGAGAAGAGGTGGAGTGGGTGGGGTCTCCGAAGTCCCGTTTGAGTGGACACCTTTTATTATTTTTTTATTTGAGCTGTTATATTTGCCCTAACTTATTGCCTTCATCCTATGAAAAACACATTAAGAAAGTGCTTAAGAAAACTAAATAACTTTTTTTAAAAAACTAAGGTGCTTATTAACAAGACAGGTCTTACAGATTGGAGGAAATCTGCCAGCTTCAACTCCACTTTTAGCGATTTTATTTGGCCTCATTTATCATAACCTCACCTCTTATTTCTTTGTTTCTATGCTAATCAGAACTGGCCTATAAAATTTCCCACATCTGTGACAATATGTTCTGCATGTTCCTTCTAGGTAGATGAGAAGGAAAATAACTGCTGAGACATTTAACAAGGACACTGGAATTTTAAAATATAAAACCCATTACTCGTGGCACAGGGAGCCGTGTGTGCGCTTCTGGTTTGGTTACTGGGTCCAGAATGTCAGTGCGTAAATCGACTCCTTTGTTGGAAGAGATCACAAGAATGATCTGAAGCGTCGTAGCTGCTTTCTTACAGCAGAAGAGGGAACATGAAACTCAGTCTGAGTAACACAAACAGCGGGTGTTCAGAGTGCCAGGCAGTTTGTTTCCAGATGCCTGTGAGCAGGGCCACTGTAGCCTGTCGAAGCGCACGCAGTCCCTGCCCTTCTCTTAGCTGCAGCACCGAGAAGCGGTGTGGACTCACAGGTTAGGCATATTAAGACTCGTTCCAGTGTCGGGATAAGTTACAGGCACAGGTTTAGGTCTGACCTGGACCTGCGCATCCCTGAATGAAGAATGGGATGCCTGCGGGGTGTGCAGGGCCCGGGGCTGGCCTTCCTCCTGCAGGAGGCCTGGGCTCCGGCCCTGCACTGCAAGAAGAGCCTGGTGTCCAGATGTCTTCCTCAGTCTGTTTCCTGAGGGGCACCTGTCACTAAGCAAGGGTCTTTCCAAGAAATACCCAAAGAAGATCACTCCTGTGCTGTTGTTCTTTCCATTTCCTTTGTTCACTCATCCTTTTTCTTCTCATGAAGAAGCGAATGTCGGGACGGATGGGGAGAGCTGGGAGACTGCTCAGCGGTCTGAGGGTCAGGAGATCACGGCGGAGTGCCCCGTGCATCCTTGTAGCAGCACCCTCTGGTACCCAAGATGTGTCTTCTTTTTCATGGTTATTAATTCCTTTCGATTTTTGTTCTCTGAGTCCATGTTTGCAGCACACAGTGGTGACACTCACCCTGGGAGCTGGTGCGTGTGCACAGCACATCTCCATCCCTTTCATCCCTTTCTTCCTCACTTCATGTCTTCATCCCCTTCCCGTTTGAGAAGGACCTGTCTTCCTATTTCCTACGGTCTTTTATGTTTCTGTATTTACACTTTGGGTTTCTCATACAAGAGAACCCATGTGATACTTAAGCTCACATGTCCGGTTTATCTCACTTAACATTATGGTCTCAAGGTGCATCCATTTTCCTACAAATGACTCAGGTTTATCCTTTTTTTTGTACTGGGGATCGGACTCGGGACCTTGTACTTGCGAGGCAGGTGGCAGAACCACTGAGCTAAATCCCCGGCCCAAGTTTATCCTTCTTTGTGGCAGAATAGCACTCCATTATTGTATAAACACCATATTTTCTTTATCCATCTGTTGAAGGACATACAGGTCACTTCCAAGATTTAGCTACTGTGAGTTGCTGTAAACATGGGTGTGCATGGATCACTGCAGTGTGATGTCCTTAACTCTTTGGGGGAAGATACCCTAGCTGAGTCAAATGGAATCTCTAGTTTTAGTGTTTTGAGGCACCTCATTCCTGATTACCATAGTGCATGTACTGCTGCACACTTCCACCAGCAGTGGGGAAGGCTTCTTTTTCCCTGCAGCCTCACCAGCACTTGTTATTTGATTTCTCGGTGATGCCTGGCTGGAGTGCGGTGGAGTCTCAGTCTTTTCGTGTTTCTTGGTGGATGACCAGGCACGTCAAGCATTTCTCCAGGTGTGTAGGCCACTTGGCTGCTACTTCTCAGAAGTGTCTGTTCGTTTCAGTTGCCCATTTTTTGACTGAGCCTAAGAAAAATCACACTTAAAATGATTTTGATACCCATGAATAAATCCCCACCGAAGTTCATTCTGTCAGCGTTAGGAAGACGGAAGGAAGAGGCGAGCAGAGGTGTGTGGAGGGACAGGTGCCAGCCATTCCTGGACTAAGGCGGTGGGATGGAGGTGGAGGATGCGGAGCTGAGCCACTGCACCTCACGGGCAGCCTGTCGCATTGGCATGCGAGTGCACAGGTGACAGAGACTCAGCCAGCTGTGGAGAGGTTCTGAAAGGTCTCAACTCAGCGGAAAGGATGTTTGTCCTGCCTTTCCATGGGAGGGTGTCGGGATGACCGTACGTCTAGGACAGCTTTCTCTGTAAAACTTCCTGGTCAGTGAAGTGGCAGGGCCTGAGAAGTGGCAGTGTTCAGGTCCCAAGCGGTTGGCGGCCTGGCTGGTTGTGACATGGGGCCTGCAGGCTCTGAGGGCCTCCGTGTGGGGCACGGGCAGCGCTGCCTTGGAGCCGTGAGACCCAGCTTGGGATGGAGCCGCGCCGTGGACACCGCAGACATAGACTTGTGCGCAACGGCCCCGCAGCTGCAGCCAGCAGCCCCTGCTCCCAACTCGCTTCACACTGTCATTCGTGCATGTTGGAGACACAGTGTGCTGCGCTTCGCTTTGGCAGCTTTGTATGAGCACCTAACCAGTCATTTCAGTCCCTGTCAGTGACTGACCTGCACTCCCCTGTAGTTTCTCACAAACCACCCAATTTCTTAAAGAAAAGAGAAAGTGAAAACAAGACAGAACAGAAAATCTAGATTAACAGTGCTCTGATTAGCCCAGTGTGGTGATGCATGCCTGTAATCCCAGTACTTGGGAGGCTGAGGCAGGAGGATTGCCACAAGTTTGAGGCCAGCCTGGCTGCATAGTTCAAGGCCAGCCTGAACTGCATAGTGAGACCGTGTCTCAAAAGAAAGAAAGACAGACAGACAGAAAAAAAGAAAAGAGGGAGGGAGGGAAGGAAGGAAGAGAAAAGAAAAATCCCAGCTATGATCTTATATATTAAAAAATTCAAAGGAACACAGCAACTATTAAAGGTAACGAGTGTTTTTTGGCAAAGATGTTCTGTGGTTGTGTACAGGAGTTATTAACTTTGTAGAAAATCGCTTGTTAGTGTTAGTAGTTGTTGGTGCTCCTTTGGATTTTTTTTCATATATAAGATCGTGTCATGCTGGGCACTCTGAGAGGCTGAGACAGGAGGGTCACAAGTGAAAGCCCAGCTTGAGCCATCTAGAGACCTAGTGAGGCCCTGTCTCAAGGTTAAGAACCAAGAGCTAGGGATGTAGCCCGGTGCAGAGGCCCTGGGCTCCATGGCTGGCACTGTTGTTTTGGGTCCGGTTACCCCTTGGCAGTGTTGCCAGGGTTACAGCTCACAGCCGTCCATGCGCTCTGGGGTCAGTGGGGTACGTAAACCTTGCTCAGGAGCTTTGGGTGTGAGCGGCACATGTGCGTGCGCTGCGTGTGCGGGTGCAGACCGGTCTCCTGCCACGAGCCGCAGCCGGGGCTTTCGGAAGCCTTTGCTGGGCGCTGCCTTTCGCCCGACCCAGGATGGGAGCCAGGCGGGCAGGAGGACGACAGCGCTGCGCCAAAGTGCTTTCTGGACACGGTGGCCGAGCAGGAGCTGCAGTGTGTTCCCCGGGGCCCCGAAGGATACTTGAGAGAACTCTGCTCCTCACACGCCTGGGAGTCGGCCAGCTGTTCTGAGCCGGGGAGGTCGCCTGCTCCCACCCAGACCCAGGCCATGTCAGACCGTGTCCTGGAAGAGTCCAGCCGCGTGAGACGCCCGCTACAGGAAAACAGCCCAAGCCCCAGTATGCAGAACAGGGTAAACCGCAGGGCAGCTTCACACTTTGGCTGATAGAAGTGTGTAGAATAAAACTAAATGTGTATTTTCAGTAATTGCACCACTGCAGGTTTATGTGGAATTTGAGCATTAATTCAAGCCAAGTGCATGTCTGACGCGTCGCATCCGAGCACAACCACCCACTCCTGGGTGGCGCAGAGGACTCCATGGTTACAAGGGGTTGGGGGACCTCCTGCCTGAGGGGCAAAGCTGTAAACCCAGCCTGGGGTGCGGTGCAGGATCGGCAGGAAGACTGTTACTCTTGGCTGGGGTCTGCACGTCTGCGAGCTCATGGGGATGCGGTGCTGTGCGCTCTGCATGCTCTACACGCGGTGAGGTGCGTCTCTCCTCACGAGGCCGGGGTTTCACGGGCTGCGCCAGCCGAGGACAGCAGAGCTATAGATCCTGCTTGGTTGCACTGCGGCCCGCCCTCTGCCCCTCCTTCTGCCCCCACCCCACCCTCTCTGCCCCAAGGTCCCCATAGACCAGGAGCCCAGCAGGACAGGGGCAATCTCCTGCCTCATGGTGACGTTGGCCATGGCCAGGTCCCCCAGGTTCCCATCACCGTGATTCGCAGTCACATGGCCTTCTGCTATGCACAGGATGTCACATGCAGCACATGGCAGGGCGAGCGCTCACACATGTGCTGTCACACGCGGTGGGTGGCAGAGTGGCCACTCAGGCAGCGGTGGCTGGCGAGTCACCAGGCTGTCATCCTCAGCAGATGCTGGTCCCCCTGTCCCCTCTGCACTTGTGTGCATGTCCAGCCCCTTCCACATGGAAACTACTGTCAGCCCACCTGGCTGTCGTGTCTCTCAGTGGACAACTTTTCCCGTGTAATTTTGTAGACTTTATTGATGGTCTGGTACGCTGGGCCTGGGGCGATGCGAATTGCCCTGCTGTCCGATATGAGGATACAGACACACTGCTGTGTCTGGTGGGGTTTCAGATGTGCATAGTGAGCTACATGAGTTCCCCAGGCTGGGCTTAAACTTCAGATCCTCCTGCTTCAGCCTCCCAGGGTGCTGGCATTACAGACATGCGCCACCATGCCCAGTGCCTGGCTGCGTCTGTTTTTAAGTCACCAGAAACTCCAAATAATAACCATTTCCGTTACTCCATTCTCCTCCTCTGTAGATGTGTGCCGCTCATCTTCCGCCCAAGTCGGAGGCAGCAAATCACTATCGGGCCGTGTGCCGCGCCCTGTTCGCAGAGACTATGGAGCTCCACACGTTCCTGACCAAGATCAAGAGTGCGAAGGAGGTGGGTGCTGCTGCTTGTTGGCCGCTGCCGTCATTCTGACGGGTGCTGGAGTCATTTAAGGAAGAAGCTGCTGGGCGAAGTGAGTCTGCAGTGTCGCCCCTGTGGAGCCACTTTATCAGACCAGGTCTCTGTAAAGTCTCACTCCAAGTAGCAGATAAGCACCCAGCACTGGTGCAGTTGCGTCCCACGGCACCTGCTTCCCAGCTGCTCTCCGCACTCCCCTTCCATGTGTTTGAGGCCTGTGGTGCCCTTCCTGGGAGGCTCGGGTGCAGACAGGAGGGGCCTGGCTTCCGCTTGCTCATGGTGGAGAGGATCTGGCTGAGGGTTTAGTGGAGGAGCCAGGACTTAACACTCAGCTCCCACAAAGTCTCCTGTAGTATTTTATTGATCATTAACAACAACTACGAGCTTAAAATATTACGTGTAAGGTCCAGAGAGGCTCGGTTCTGATTGATTTGGAAGGGGAGTTGTGGTGTCCCATGTTACGCCGCCCAGCCGAGATCAGGCAGGGGCTTCGTAAAACCACGCTGGAGCCAAGTGCAAGGCAGGGAAGGGTCCGTCTCTTCCGTGACAGCAGGGCAGTTCGCACAGAGCACTCCCAGAGTTTACCACATCCCAGCCCCTCGCCCCGGCCTCCCCACATTGTCCCCGTGTGACAGGAGCTTAGGCCGCTGGGGCCTGCGGGGAGTGGCCCTGCCACGTGATGTCCTCCCGGGGAAGAGCCTGACTCTCGGGGCTGCCTAGCAGGACCCCTTTTCAAACAAACAAAAAAGTATTTTGGACGAAAAATTCTTGTTTAAAACATTTCATTTTCATTTTTTTTTTTTGGTATCGGGGATCAGACTTGACATTTTCATTTTTTAGAATAACTTGCCGTACTTATCTTGACACTGGTCCTGTTTTAAAGCCTCTTTACTGTTGGCGAATCGTGTTCGAGCTGAGTCCTTCACGTGGCCCGCGTTGGACAGTGCTGGCTGGACTCACAGGTCGTCACAGGTGTGAGTCGAGCTCCAGGGTGCTGCAGAGCCTTAAGACACAGGCGGGTGTCCTTCGCTAGTGAGCCAGGCGCAGCACTGGGTACAGGCATCACTGCCGGGCTGTCAAGGAGACTGAAATTGTCTGCTTTATAGTCTCAAGGTAGGAAAGCCCTGTAAAGAAACTTCTAGTCAGTAATGCCAGTGATGACCGAGAGAGCACGGGTCTCGACCAAGCGTCAGGAGACGTTGCATGCTGTTTGACTGCAGAGCTTTGTAAGTTGTGTAACATAGACTTTCTTTCTCTTTGAGGGAGGCATTTTTTTGAGACAGGGTCTTGCTATGTCATTCAGGCTGGCCCCAAACTCATGGTGATCTTCCTGCCTCAGCCTTCTGAGTGCTGGGATTACAGGTGTGCAACACCACGACCGGCATAAGATAGATTTTTAGCATCATCATTTTTAAGGGCTCCTGTACACAGCAGGGTGAAAATTCCTGTCCCTTGCGCTTGCTGTCTCCTGGGTAGCCCTGAGCTGGGTGGGAGTGGGTGTGTGCAGGGCGGCTGAGCCGTCTGCTGTAGCTAAGCAGCTCAGGTTTCCTGGCGTGGCTCAGCAGGTTGGGCCCCATTTCTGATTTCCTGATTGTCTGGTCTCTGCTCTCCTCATGAGAGGTCCAGCTTCTTGTGAATACCTTTTAGTTTTGCTTTGCAGTGCTGGGCATTGAACCCGGGAAGTGCTAAGCTGCATCCCCAGTCCTTATTTTATTATATGTGCTGCCAGAGTGAGAACTTTTTTTCTTTTTCTTTTTGTACCGGGGATGGAACTCAGAACCTTTCGCTTTCAAGGCAAGCATGGCGCCACTGAGCTAAATCCCCGGGCAGTACTTATCTTATTTTGAGACAGGGTCTTACTAGGTTGCTCGGGCTGGCCTCGAACCGGGCATCCTCCTGCCTCAGCCTCCGGAGGACTGGGGTTACTGGCGTGCACACTGTGCCCTGCTGCCGCTGACATCTTAACCTCCTCGTCTGGGTGTGTACAGCAGCCTCTCTCATCCCAGCTCCCACCTCCTCCAGCAGCCGTCGGCCGGGCGTCCTGTTGGTCTCTTGTCCCTTGATGGCGGCCCCTGACCGTGAGGCCAGGACAGCTGCACACGGCTGCAGGCTGCCCTGGGCTAGCCCTCCAGTGTCTGGCCCTCGTCCCTGGTGCTGCACCATCTCGAGTTGGCTCCCAGACCCCAAGGCGGGCCCGGAGGAGGTGGAGGTGGTGCCCCTGCTGTGGTCTCCTGAGAGGCTCCCTGTGAGCCCCAAGTGGAGGCCCAAGAGTGGGGCTGAGCCTCGGCTCTGAGCCCGACAGCATCGCTTCCGGTCCCTGCCCTGCTCCTGTCCAGGGCCATCCTTTGCCCCCACCGTGTTTTTAGGAAGGCTGAAGCAGACTTTAGCACACTCAGCATCCCTGTGAAAGGAGGAGCCAGGACTCTGCTTTCTGATTTTTAGCAGCAGCCAGCAGCACTGCAGGAGCTTGAGCCAGGAGGCTGCTGTGCAGGAGCAGCAGGGCACTGGCTCAGGGAGCGCCTGGCAGGGTGCAGCCCGGGTTCCAGGCCCCGGGGCACTGGCCTGAGGACCAGGACCTGCACCAAAGGGAGTGCACCCGTGAGGGGCCTGACATGGCTGCTGCCCAGCAACCTCGTGGGGGCTGGAGACTGCTGTGTGGCTCAAGGAGCTTGCCGGGTGTGCCAGGTCCTGGGTTTGATCCCCAGCACCAAAGAGAAAAGAAAAGGGCAGCCCAGGCAATTCATTGACTCCGGGGCTTAGTGAGCCTGTCTCGAAATAAAACATAAGAAGGAGTTGGGGTGCAGCCCAGTGCGGAGGTGCTGGGTTCAGTCCCCACACCCACCGGAGCCACTTTTATTCCATGCTTATCCACACCGCCTCCCGGCCATGCCGTTGTGGACATGGACCCACCGAGTCCTCACAGTGGCCTCAAGTGACACGCCATTGCAGTTCCCTTGCCTTGGGGTGCACAGCAGTGAGTTCCCCTCAGAGAGGAGAGGGCAGGGGCGGCAGTCAAGGACCTCCTCTGGTGTCCAGCCCAGGCCAGGGCACACCCATGACCGAGGTGTGACCTAGTGGCAGCCATGTGTCGGCTGGAGGCAGGGCAGTGGGGAGCAGGGGAGGGACAGCAGCCCAGAGGTGCCGGTTCTGCTGCTGAGGCCCTGGTGGGCAGCACGTTGTGCAGAGCCACACTGCTCACCTCAGGCACCCAGGGAGCAGGGAGCAAGGGGAGGGCCGGGCCGAGCGCCCCTGACCTCTCCCTTCACTGCGCCCCCCTAAGTCTCCATCAGCTCCCAGCAGTCAGTTCCGGTCTTGTTCCAGATGGATGGGGGCCCCGACAGTCAGGCCCCCAGGGCCGTGTCTGAACTCGGGAGACCTGCATGGCGCAGTGCGGACAGAGCAGTAGTATTGGCCCGGGCCCTGGTGGCCGACGAGGACAGCGGAGAGCACGGTCCTCCGTGGACAGGGGTGGCAGTGCCGGGAGCTGATGCAGCAGGGCCCTGCCTGAGAGATGGGTGGGAGAGAAGCCAGTCACTGGGTCCTTTTTCCCGTCCTCTCTCTGGTTCCTCATCTGTGTAAGAGTTTGTGGCAAGTTCGATGAAAAGTCAGAACAGGAGCCAGGCTTTGCTGCCTCTGATTACTCTTAACATGCACTTCAAAAAAGGGCCAGGAGCGGCCTGCTGTGTCTCCTGCCCCCTGTGTCACCCTGGGGCCCCTGTCCTGAGATGCTGCTGGCTCTGTCACACACCCCCGTCCACCCTTCAGAGCAGACTGCGCTCAGGGCACGGGGACTCGCGAGACAGCAGAGCACCCACCGGCGCCCTGACGGGCCCTGGACTGGCGCTGACTGGGAAGTGGGGCCCGAGTCCTTGTGCTGCCAGTGTCCAGCCCATGGGAATTCTTTTATTTTAATTTTTTTCTCTTTTTATTTTATTGGTGAGGATTATTTTAACCAACAGCACTGGGTTCATCTGAAATGAGCTTCGGATCTTCACTTTTTTCATGACCTGTAAGATCCATGACCTGTAAGATTATAAGATTCCATAATGGAAACATCTGTGAAACAGCAGGTTATATCTGACTTCTTATTCTAAATTTTCTCTTTAAAATGCATGTATTTCTATTGGACAAGTATGCTTATTACTACATTTTACTTAAAAGTTATAAATTTTTAAAAAAAAGTCATAACCGTTTAAGCATTTCTAAAATTCTTAGTTTTACCCGAGTTACTTTGCTTTCTTTTCAGCTGATTGTTCAGTCACCCATTTGAATGAATAACTGTATAAAGCTGATGGAATTCTTTTTTTTTGGTACTGAGGATCGAACTCGGGTCCTTCTGCTTGCAAGGCAGGCGGCAAAACCGCTGAGCTAAATCCCCGGCCCAAGCTGATGGAATTTTGATCATTTCAGCAAAATGTATTAAGTATCTTCTTTTTTTTTTTTTTTTTTTTTTGGTACGAGGGATCGAACTTGGGACCTTGCGCTTGCAAGGCAGACGGTGGCACCAACACTGAGCTAAATCCCCGGCCCAGTATCTTTATTTCTTCAAAGAGTACTCATACTCAGGATTCAATTTGAATTACTGGTTGGATTCATTTGTTACCTCCTCCCTGTCCCAGCCCCTCACAAGTGCTGAATATGTACTTCTTGGCCATAATTCTCTTAAGTGAAATGACAGTGGTGTTGAATTAAATATTGATTTTTTAAAAAAATACATAGCACAAAGATTTTTAAATTTTTTCTATGTTTTTGTCCTTATATATTTCAGTTCCTTTTATCATCACAGTGAGCAATTTTGTCTTAAAATTTTTAATATTAGCCTTTGTTATTTAATGTATAATTCTGCACAATTCTGGTTGAACTTTTCTTTTTTTTTTTTTGGTACCGGGGATCGAACTTGGGACTTTGCACTTGCGAGGCAAACCGCAGCACCACTGAGCTACATCCCTGGCCCAATTCTGGTTGAATTTTAAGAAAATACAATTATAAGGACATACATTTTTAAACTACTTAGTTATTTTGATTTTAAACTTAAAAAGTATAAATTAGATTATGACAATGTTATGAAAAACTTAATGTTGAATTATTCATCTTTGCCTTCTGTCATACTGAGAAATAAATTGGAATTTTTTGGTCTTTCATTTTTTTGAATTTTTTAAAGTTGTCCTATGGAAGGGAATTGATTTCCCTCTGCTAATGCTAGTAGCTAAAGCTGTTTAAGAATAGATGAATCTGGGCTGGGGATTTAGCTCAGTGGCACTGCACCTGCCTTGCAAGTGCAAGGTCCTGAGTTCAATCCCTAGTACCGCAAAAAAAAAAAAAAAAGAATAGTAGCATCTGATATCCAGATGTTTAGACAATCTTTTACATGTGACCTTGTTCTAAAGCGCACCAGTCCAAGTCTCATCTTAAATTTAATAAAATCCTAAGGTGGGGAGATGACTTCCACATGCAGATCAGAGTTAATTTGCCTTCCTCTGTAATATTTTAACAGATATTGAAATTACGCAGTAAGGAAATGGAGTGAAAATAAGCATGGCTTGTTAGGAATTTTTCGGAGAGCATATTTGAGTATATTTTAGGCTATATCATCAAAATAACCACTGGGAAACTTTAGTAAGCAACTTACATCATTTCAATTAGTCTTGTGCAAAAAATATCACAACTTTAAGTGAAATCTTTGAGCTCCACTGATCTTAAACCATTGCCAAAGTATCTCAGGTCAGTGGAAGGCTCTGCCTGCCTGTGTGGTGACAGAACCCACTGCCAGATGTCTGGGTGTGGCCGCCGTTCCCTGGCGTAATCAGATGCCCCGGTTGGAACTCTGTCCCCTCTCTCCTGCCTGTCTCTTCTGTTTGGCCTTTATTTCTATTGAGTCTGCATGTGTCTGCAGAACGCTTGCTCACGGGCAGAATCACAGCGCCTCTGCAGCCGAGTGTCACTGCCGTTCGCACCACCATCCCCATTAAAGTTTCCCAAGGGCATTTACAGAATGGATGGATGTGGAGGGGCTCTCCTCAGACTGTGCACTGGGCGGAAACAGACAAACCATGTCCTTGAAGTACAAGCGAGATTTAACGAAAGCAGGGCACTTGTGTGTGAGTGCACAGGACTTCAGGCGATGCTGCACGTGTGATGAACCTTGATTCAGCGAGGAGGTCGGATTTGTGCTCAGGACGCCAGGAGCTGGACTGCTGGCATCGGGCAGCCTGTCTGCTGGGCTGCTACATTTATGCAAGCGAAAAGGAAAAAATTCACTCAGAAGCTAAAATAGAATCGACAGGAGTTTGTCTCCAAAATCAGAAAAATCTGTAATTTACTTTCAAATAGCTCATTTGCTTTTTCTCTTAACAAAACCCCCTGAGCTTTCTAGTCACATATTTGATCCAGCTTGTTCAGTTCTGGTATTTATAGATTCTCAACAATTCTACACTGATTTGTTGCTGAGTTAGGATTTGGTTCCATGATGACACTAGACAGCGGTATCATTTGGTAAAAACAGACTCGTTAAGATTAAAATATTCTGTGGGGGAGTAAAAGTGCTCGCAGCCAAACCCTCATGGGTTTTCATTGTGTGTGGCATCTACCGCCTACTGCATCTCAATGTGAGCTGGTCCCGCTGTGTCGGTATTATTTAGGTAATAGCAACAAAACTGTAAAGGTGGTTACTACTCTCTGCAACCCACAGATGAGGAAGTCAGTGGAGGACTAGAGCAGCCCAGAACAACACCTCGGGAATACAGTTTGTGCTGTTGTTCAGAAAAATAAAGAAGCTGGACTTTCTTGGGTCACTCCTTTAACTTATCCTCAATACCATGTGGGACAGATAGCTCCTCGGTAGTGGGGAGTGAGGATTTGATCCTAGCCCTGGGAAAGGCAGAGATGTGTGAAGGCCCTGTGCAGCCCAGCTGTGTTCGGGAAGCACAAAAATTAAGGTCAAATGGAAGAGGGGCCATGCTGTAGCGGCTTGGAAGCAAGAAAGTCTGGGTTGAATCTCTCTGTTGCTTTTCATGCTGTTCCATCAAAGGACCATAAGACATCCACGTGGAAGTGTGAACACATATTTCTGAGCTTATGCTGATAAATGAAATCATGGCTTTGAGTCACAAATGACAGACTTGCTCAGAGTAGCATGGGAAGGGATGGAGAAAGGGTTTTGGCTCCTATGACTGGGAAGTCCCAGGGCCCGGCTGGCTTGGACACTGCTGCTGCTAGGACCTCTGCCCCAGCCAGCACAGGGCCCACAGTCTGCAGCTGCACCAGAAGTCTCTTCTGCAGATCAGGGTCCCGGAGTGAGGGCCGGATGTTCCATCTTGGGAACAGAGGGGGCTGTGTCCTCACCCTGGGGAGTTGGGAGGTAGTTGAGCCATAGGAAGCGTCACCGAGAAAACACACATCTGCATCACGTGAAGGAGGGGAGATGAGTAGGCCAGAACAGCTACCCCAAAGCCTGCTGGGTTTCTGGAGGCCATTGGAATTGTTCACAGCTTTGTAAACATACAAAGATGAGCGCTCTCTGCAGTTCCAGCCTTTTTCAGGTCCTTGCTTTCCGGGTGGTGAGGAACCTGGACAGCTCACTGTGGGTGATGGCGCACAGGCCGGAAGCGTGTGGCTGCAGGCACGGGGGCTGGCCTGCCCTGCCCTCCACTTGGGCCGGCTGGTGGGCTTGTCCAGCCCTGTAATTACTTCACTTCTTCTCCAGGGTATTCGGGATGCATTCCTCTTCCCTCTTAATTGTAGTAATAATTTCACCCCCAATGGCTGAGTGCCGCTTTAACTGTTGGCTTGGATGGGAGCTGGGCTGGGTGTCTCGTACCTGGAGAGCTGTGTTGCTGTGGGGCACAGATCAGGTCTCCCCCCAGCTGCCCAGGGCATTAGGGATTTGAAGGAGAAGATGCAGATTTCCTTCTGCTGAAAAGATCTAGGCATTAAGCCCTCGTGGTTGAAGGCGTCCTCGTTGGATTACTGGCCAGGCGCAGTCACAGGGAGGTCTCTCCTGGGTGGAGGTGAGCTAAAGCCATAGGAAGAAAAATGGGATGTGTGTGTCCAGTACATACTGTTTTCTTTTTGTTTTGCAAGAAGACTTGAACTTTTTTTTTTTGGTACTGGGGACTGAAATCAGGATCTTGCGCTTGTGAGGCAGGGGACAGAACCACTGAGCTTAATCCCCGGCCCGACTTGAACTATTTTTGATGATAAGAGTAAATGGTAGAAAGTGAAAAATAAGGTGTTCTATCAATTAGAATTTGTTCACTGACTTGAAACTGGAAGGTGCCACAGCTTGTGTTCGCTCCTGAAGATGTGTTGGGAAGTCTGGAGAACACCAGTGCTGGGAATCACCATGCTGATGATGAGGCCACAGAGAAGAGGACTGCAGGATGGGTTGGCGCACTCAGGGAGGGCAGGAGGCATCGCCCGAGCGCCGAGGGAGGAGGCGGCGGGGATGCAGAAGCCTGTGGTAGAAACATGGTGTGTGAAGGGCCTGCAGTGCGATCAGTGAGGGCCTGGATGTGGGGTGAGGGAGATGGTGCTGGCAGGGATGCTGTGGCCAAAGTCAGCCCAGGACCACCTCAGTCCATCCCTGCACAGACGCCTGAGTGGCCCAGCTTTAGCATTCAGAGGCGTCTCCTTCAGTGCTACGTCGCTACGTCTGTGTTCAGCCTGAAGACATCTGCTGGGAGTTTTCCTTTCAGCTTATATTTCAAGTGATAGTGCTTTCATGCCTGTTCTCTTTTTATTTCTCCTGGCAGAACCTTAAGAAGATCCAGGAAATGGACCAGAGTGATGAGTCCCACGCCGACCTGGAGGAGCTGAAGAACGCGGACTGGGTGAGGTGCCAGTGTCCTGCCCGGCCTGGTGGCTGCCATAGGGCGATGCCTCACAGGTGCTCTTACTGAGGACTGCAGTAGGAATTGGCAGAGAAATCTGAGTGCTTAGTCTTGGATGCTGGGAAATATCCAGTCCCATTTTTAAAACTTTCTTATTTTATTAGAGCCACCCAGTGTCTCTGGGAATTTTGGTATTTCAGGTATTAGCATTTGTAATTATTTTAATATCTTTGCATACTCTTGTGTGTACTTGAGGTAAAGCTGTATTTTTCAGAAGGAAACATGGAACTAGTGTGCTACATTTGTCTGGCCAAGGGCCCGGAGCTTCACCAAGGACCTGGGGCTCAGGGTGAAATGTATGGGGGTCTCCAGCTTCAGGGCTGCGGGGCCGAGGAGACAGGCCTGTAGGGCAGGTGATTGTGAGCTATGCGTGTGACACTCTTCCACATTGGACTAGGTCCTGGTGACCCTGAGAGGCGTGATCCTTGCACAAGCCCAGAGCTGGTTGGCATGAGAGCCTCGGGGACAGGACAGTGACTGTGGCGAAGTGTCAGATGGGGCTGTTAGGAATCAGGGACTTCTTAGGCTCAGAATACCAGATCCGTGATGATGTCACATACTGAGGGAGTCCAGAGTAGGCGCAGGCTTGAGGACGCAGACAGGCCACTCTGGACCACATTAGATGTTCATTGTTTGCCACATTCTCTTCCCTTCTCCGCTGAGGTGTAATACAGGGACAAGCTCCCCACGTTAAAACCTGGGTTAATGCACAAGGCTCTGGGTTCAACCCCAGTACCGCAAAGAAAAGAAACAAATTTATAGTCTGATAAGTTTTGACACATGAGTGTGTACACAGTGACACATGCATGGGCACACACTAACGGATATATCAGTTTATTCATCCATTCATGTATTGATTTGATTTATTTCCTGTTTGCAGTATTCTTAATTTATTGATGCATATATTTACTGAGATACTCTGATGTTAATTGAGATCGTTCAAGAGTAACATTAAAAAACCAGTTGCAGGGGCAGGGATTTAGCTCAGTGTTTCCACCTCCTGCCTTGCAAGCTCTAGGTCCCTCCTCAGTACCCCCCCCAAAAAAACCTTGCATTGAATTTTCAGCTACAGTTGTCATCTTACAGTAATGTTGATTATCAGTTTACTTTTGCGTAGACTGCTCTGATAATGTTACTCATCTTAACTAATAGCATTCTTTTTTACCACTCTCCCTAGTCACTGAAGCCAGAAAATTGAAAGTTAGCAAAGCTAGGCATGGTGGTGCATGCTTGTAATCACAGCACTTGGGAGGCTAAGGCAGGAGGATCTCTGTGAATTCGAGACTAGCCCTGGCTGCATAAGAAGTTCAAGGCAGTCTGAACTACACAGTGAGACCCTGTCACAAAAACAAAACAAAACAGGACCAGGGGTTTAGCTCAGTGGTGCCATGCCTGCCTCGCAAGTGCAAGGTCTTGAGTTTGATCCCCGGTACTAGAAGAAACAAACAAACCAAAAGAAAAAACCAAAACAATCCCCAAAAGTTAGCAAATAGCTAGTATAGTAGAACTGTCATTTCTTACTAGAATTTTCTGTTCTTTCTTTTCTGGTACCAGGGCTTGAACTCAGGACCTTGGACTTGTGAGGCAGGCATGGTGCCACTGAGCTAAATCCCCAGGCCTAGCATTTCTCCTTGACATTCACTACTGTGCTAGTGTGCTCACCCAGGAGGACTGTACCAGTGTGCTCACCCTTCCTGAGGCCGGGCCAGCTCATAGGCTCTGACAGCCTGTGTTTCCTTCACTGTTTGTCCAGCACCCCAGTCCACCTCCCCAGTGTCATGGTGTGAGACAGAAACCCAGCAGGCTGGGGCACAGGCAGTGCCAGGCGGGGCACAGATGTGTGAGCCGTGAACCAGGACCCCCGGCACCGAGGCTGGGCCTTCTCCGCAGACCTTGCACTTCTCTCAGTGCAGGCCGGGCCCTTCCAGTGTGTGTTCCCTGGGCTTCTGCTCTGTGTGACCTCAGGGTCCAGAGCCCCCCAGCCAGGTGCTCACTGACTCTCCCCCGTGACTCTCAGGCGCGTTTCTGGGTCCAGGTGATGAGGGACTTGCGCAACGGGGTGAAGCTGAAGAAGGTGCAGGAGCGGCAGTACAGCCCGCTGCCCATCGAGTACCAGCTCACGCCCTACGAGATGCTGATGGAGGACATCCGCTGCCGGCGCTACACCCTTCGGAGAGTGATGGTGAGCGGGGCGGGGGCTCGGCTCTTCTCTGCGCTGTTGCAGAAGTATTTCTTCCGGTAACAGCCATAATTGATTATTTGGAAAATACATTAAGCTCAAAGAAGGAAAGTTACAAACATGTCCTTCCACCACCCAAAGAGAAATTGGTGACCATCTTGGGTCTAACCCTCAGTCGTTTGCACCGTGCATTTTATTTGGATAAAACGAGCTAATTTTGTTTTGTAACCAGTTATTTTTGTTCAACATTTTGTAAGTATTTTTTCCATGGCATTATATTCAACCTGACTTTAAAGGGTTGCTACTGGAGACCGCTGCAGTGGATCCCGATCTGCTACGACACATGGTGAGAAGAAAGACATAAAGACAGAGTTAAAGAAGCAGAGACCGGGAGCAGGATGACCAGTGCTTGAGCAGTCAGCAGCTTGAGCAAGCAAAGGCCCTGAACACCCAGAGCCATTGATATTTATTGGTGACATCATAGTTAGATTGAGGTAAAGGGGCTATGTGTTGTTGCTATGGATACGTTGCTGATGCAGGCAAGGCTTGTAAAGGAAGAGAGAAATTGTTCTTGAGTTAGGAATAGAACAGACAAAATACAGGTTCAGGTTAATAATTAACCTTGTCTTTTTAGTAAAGGTTTTAATTCTGGGAATGGAATTTGGGTGTGAGTCACTCTCACCTCAGTACGTAGGCTTCGGCCAGACTCGCTTTTTGGAACAAGCCAATTGCAGGGTTAATTCTTTGCAGCCTGCACTCTTACAACCTCCTGTGGGCATGGTGGATCGGGTGGTCCCCACAAGCTGCATCTTTTCTAGCTTTTGGCTCCACTGAGTTCACTGCATGACTCACGCGCCTGCATGTGGTCACTAGCAGCCTGGCTCATGCGTCCACCTGCAGGTCTACCTAGCCACCACGATGGCCTTGAGCTGAGACCAGAAGCAGAGCATGCCAGTCCCCCACATGGCCTGGAGGTGCCCCTGCTGTGACTGGCACCTGCTCCCCTGCAGACGGGCAGAGCAGAGTGTGTGAGGTGCTGCCCGGTTGGACTCCTGGACTGCAGCGTGTGGCTGCAGCCCTGTTCCTGTCACAGCCATCTCTGCCCGGGGGTCCAGCTGTCCATGAGTGCTTGCCCAGTGCACACGAGGGCCTGGGTTCATCCCTGAGGCCATGCATGGACACACTCACACATGTGCATGCACAGACCCCCCCCCCCACAGACACACACAGGACAGATTCCACAAACACACGGAGAAACACATGTCCGAGTGCTGCTGTCTCAGGAAGCTGGGTCTCCAGTACCTCGGCAGCAACATAAGCCGTCTGCTACCTTGAACAAGAAGAAGGGCTGTCTGGGACGCTTGGGGTGGCTTCAGAGTGACAGGGCCTCTGTGGGCCTCTGTGCCCCAACAGTGTCTCCATCGTTGATGTGGTAGTTGCCTCTGGCTGCAGCTGGCCATGCTTCTGCAAGAGTTTTGTTCTGTGTTTATATGCTCATTGTAGAGAGACGTGGATGAATGCAGGTGTCCTGAGAGTCTGGACCAGGCCCAGTCTCCTGTTGATTCACTCATTTAAGGATAGGTGTTAGACAATCACTTTATACCCAGAGTCACACGTACTGTTTTATAGTCCTGTTCACTCCATAAACACTGAATGTAGATACTGTGTGTGTATGAGTGTGTGTGTGTGTGTGTGTGTGTGTGTGTGTGTGTCTGGAGTATAGTACAGTGGACCCTTGACTTAAGAACTCAATTTATTCATGAGGGCTGATTGTAACTCACGTTGGTCAGCTGAAGACCTCAGGCTCCTCCACACAGCCTTCAGAGTCTCTCTCCTGCACACAGGCGGATCTCAGTGTCCTTAGACGTCGGCCCAGGATTTCTCAACCCCACACAGGAAAGGACGCTGTCATGTTCCTCCCACAACTCTGTATCTGAGACCACCTGGGAGCTGGCGTTTGGGTCTGTTAGGGTTTGTGTCTAGGTGTCCCCTCAAAGCCTCATGCGGTCTTAGTTGGGCTTTTTCAAAGGTGGCTGAATCTAGAGTGTGTGATTCATGCTGCAATGGTAAGCCCGAGGGCACTAGGATTAAGGGTGTGAGTGGTATCCACCCTAAGTCATTTTCATAAGATAAAAGAGGCTGGAAGACTGTTAAGGCCCCCTTGTTGCTTTTTTTTTTTTTTGGTACTGGGGATCGAACTCGAACTCGGGACCTTATGCTTGCAAAGCAGGCAGTGGAACCACTGAGCTAAATCCCAGCCCACCCCTTTGTTGCTTTTGCTACTGTGTGGGCACCATGAACTCTTTCTCCTCTGCAGTGCCTCTCTGGCATGTGCCAGGGGCTCTCTGCCACAGAGCCAGCTAATTATGGACTGAAACCTCTACAAACTGTGAGCCAAATAAACCTTTCCCCTTTTTAACTTTGGGTGTCGGGTGTTTTGTCTCAGCAATGAGAGAAAAGTTACTAAATGTGTATCTGAGACCTTCTGGGAACACAAGCAGCTGGCATTAGCGTTGTAACTCAAGACTTTGGTCCTAAGTTAAAACTAAAATTCCGGTCATAACCCAAGTTGTTCATGTGTCAAGCTGGTCGTAACTCAAGGATCCATTGTATTTCCGTCTACCCTGACAGCAGAAGCATTTGAATAAAAAGTAGAATGTGAGGGCTGGGGATTTAGCTCAGTGGTTTCGCTGCCTGCTGTGCAAGTGCAAGGACCCGAGTTTGATCCCCGGTACCAAAAAAAAAAAAAA